TAGAGTTTTGAAGCCCAAATTTTCCTCGCAATTTCTACATGCATCAATTTCAATTGTTCATTTGTCCACGAGCATCCATTTCGACAAAGCCTCGCTTTGTACAGCCTCCCTACAATCCCACAACGCTGCACCTCAACAGTGCCTCTTCGACTGGATTGGTATCTGCTCGATAAGTCCTATGTTGGCAGGCCTAGACAGACGCAGATCAACCGACGAATGGGCCTGTTCGTCGGAGGGGCGGGCAGCATGGCAGATGCGACAGGTTAGCAATTCACCCGTTGCCCCTCTGAAGGGCTTGGAGCCAGTGAGGATGCAAGACAAAGACTGCAAAGCGAACAAGGTCAAACCGAAGACAGATACATTATCTGCCAATTGGCAGAGCCACAACAGATGACCCATCGACACCTACACAATCCTGTTTTTGGGTGGGCAACAGGGTCAGACCTACATGTCTCGGATTTACTCTGCAAGACCTACTTCACTTGTTACAGTAATTGTGCCCTCGCAGAACGGAAGGGAGGGCTTTATGGCAGATCAGAACTCAACCTGGTCTAATTATCACCTCCAACTGAATGCCGGGTCTCGACCCCCAGGACTAGTTATTGCAAGACCATCAACAAGTTTCGAATAACAACTGTAGACAGCCTAGGTCGGTTCAGGAGTTTTAAGGACTAATAGTGAAGGTTTTCGCTTAATTGCACGAGTAGACCTCATGCTTCATTATAGTTCACTTCGCCTCTTTTCGCGAAAGGTTCTCGTGTCCAAACTGGACTGCCGTTTAGACCTCGTCCGGGTTTCATTACGCCCAAAAGTTATCCGAAACCGCGTCCTGAGCCATTTGTGCCATCAGTTCCCAGGGCGGCTATTCTTCAAGGCAAGCCCGGCCTCTCCAAAAGTGCGTTAACAATGACATTTTCGTGTATCTGTCATTAGCGTCGACAACGTTGCTTTGCTTAGGTTTGGGCGCGATTTGAATCTTTCAGTAATTCTTGAATTATATTTTAGTCATTCTAGGCTGTTTCGGGTGTTCTACGGACTGATTAGTGGAGGCGAAGGGGAAATGGCAATCCACCATGGATTAGAATACGTAAAATTCATAGAAATTGTGTGGCATATTCATATCATTGTGGGAAAATCCCAATGTCAGAACTTAAAATATCAGTATCCTGAATGACTAAGCTCTTATTCAAGAATTTCTAATAGTTTCGAAACAGCTAAAATGGGATATAAGTTATTATCATTTTCTAATAGGCTACATGAGATGCATTCGACCTAAGGTAATGAAGGACTGGTAGTTGAATTTTCGTTCATAATGCTATAAATAGAGTTGCCATTTCCATTTAATCTCCCATAGCCTCGCTGTCCCAGAAGGCCTTCTCAAGGCTATGCCAAATTCACTGAAAGCGTCAGCTCTACGCATAGCCTTGTGGGAAAATTCAACTACTATGCCTTCGTCACCTTAAACGAAATAGGGTGAATTCAGTTAATATAACTGATGTACTGGTATTTGTTTGGATTACTTCCATTTCGAGTAGAAGTATTGAGTGAAGAGATTCGAAGGTCGGTTCCACCAGAAGACG